AAGCTTTGTTTATCATTTACTCAAAATGGTAAATTAATCTCAGAAGGTCATTTTCCTAGCTCACACCCCATATCTATTTAATAAATTATTATTTGTTTTATAAATAAAACAAATCCGGAATACCTCTCAAATACATTTGTCGTTCTCGAGGCAAAATTCAATAATTTCAATTAGGAAAGAACCAATCAAATTTTTTGAGCGGGAACTTCTAATAGATTTTCTTAGAACACGCGTTGATTAAATTTTTTTTCCAATCTGATTCGCCTAATTTAGATCTTGAAATTTGCATAAATTACGTGATAATTAGTAATTTTTATTGGCTAAAATATTTTATGCTATGATTTACATATTTAAAAAACGGGATATTGCACTTTGTATAATTTTGCATCGCACACTAATTCTGTAATTTTTTTTATAAAAAATGACCAGTGAAACACCAATCTCGTCACTTTCAGCAATCGTTTATACACGTTCACCTCCTTCATTAAAAGTTTTAAATCAACTTTTACTTCCACATAAAACAATATATGAAACGGTATCGAATATAAAAGAAGGCTATGAACAAATCAAAGAAATGAAAGTTCGTGGTGCACCGGCTATAGGAATAGTCGCAGCTTTAACAATGGCAATAGATCTTCTTTTACAAAACTCGAATAAAACCAATCCAATTTTTAAAGATCAAGAATCTTTAAAGAGATATATTAAAACTTCGCTTGAATATTTGAAAACTTCTCGACCGACAGCAGTTAATTTATTTCGCGCATCGGATATTTTATGGAATATCACAGAGAAAGAAACAGATATTAACATGATAATAGAAAAAATAGTAAAAGAAGCTGAGAGAATGTTGATTGATGATGTACAAGATAACAAAAATATTGGAAATTTCGGAGCAGAATTTATTTTGAAAGAAAATCAAGATAAAAAGATTGGTGTTGTAACTCATTGTAATACTGGGTAAGTGAATAAGGATAAATATACATAAAGATGATTCAAGATTGAAAATTATTGTGTTTATTATTAATAGATCCTTGGCAACAGCAGGATACGGAACGGCACTTGGAATTATTCGATCTTTATACTTTCAAAATAGACTCTCTAATGCTTATTTCACAGAAACTCGTCCTTATAATCAGGGGGCCAGGTTGACCGCTTATGAATTAATTCACGATAAGATTCCAAGTACTTTGATCTGTGATTCAATGGTTTCTGCTCTCCTTTCTTTAAGTGAGAATAATATTAAAGCTGTAATTGTTGGAGCCGATAGGGTAGCCTCAAATGGTGATACCGCAAATAAAATTGGTACATACCAATTGGCTATCACCGCGGAATATCATAACATCATGTTTATAGTCGCTGCTCCAAGTACTAGTATTGATCTTAATATTAAAAGTGGAAAGGAAATAATTATTGAAGAAAGAGCCGAAGATGAAGTTACATATGTGACCGGAATTGTTAAAAATTATAATGATGGAGAGTTAAAATCTACAAAAGTAAGATTGCCTCCGGAAGGTGTTAAAGTTTGGAATCCAAGTTTTGACGTTACACCTGCAAAGTTAATAACTGCTATAATTACTGAAAAAGGTGTCATTACCAAAAAAGATGGAACGAATGAGTTCAATTTATTTGATTTTTTAAAGTAATAATTTATGTAATCATTAGCAGTAAAAAACTACTTGTGTGTGCAAATATGCATTCTTTTTGTGGGGGGGCTAGACTGAATTATGCACAAACATAATGAAGGTTGAATGAAAATAAATTAAGCTATTTTTCGACTTGAAGCAGAAACTTGCCCCAATCGATTGAAAACGTCTTTAGTGCCTCCATAAAATGTAGTTTTACAATACGGTATTTTATGCTTTTCACATAATGTTTGAATAATTGGTTGAACTTTATGAAAGACGTGACGAGGGAGGGCAGGGAAAAGCTGCAAAAAATAAAATAAAATAAAATTTAAATAAAATATAAAGCAGTTTCATCAACAAATATTAAAAATATCTTCTTACATGATGTTCAATTTGATAATTTAATCCTCCGCAAAACCAATCTACAACAAATTGTAATTTTGGATTTAAGGCTATTATATCTCTTCCAGTGATAACTTGCTCAACAAAAAAGTCCATTTCGCGAGCCTCCTCTTCTGTGAGGATTGCCATACCATTATGATTCAATGCAAACACCAAAGCCAATAATATACCACATATTACTTGTGATGCAAAAAAAAATGTGACCATTAATTTCCAACTGCTTATAAAAGAGAAAATGTAAAAGTACCAAACATAATGCATGGCAATTGAAAGTTGCTCTGTTAAAGAAATTGGCATACGAGCATTCGCAGGTTTTCCGTTTTGACCATCAGGAAGGACAAAAAATATACTTTGAAAACACCATGAAATCCTTGCTAAGCCTAAAATTGGGAAATAATTCAAAGTTTGATATTCAACCATGAATCTGGTAAACCATGGTGGAAAATCATTTGCATTTGCTTTAGCCATTTCAGGATTAAATAAATCAAAAAGTGCATGCTCTGACCAAGTCAAAAGTGGATGTGTATCAATGTCTGGATCTTGTCCGTGCACGTTTGGTGCCGCATGATGAGTGTTATGCTTATCTTTCCACCTTAATTAAATAACAATTTTATTTTTTTTTTTTAAAAAAAAAAAAAAAAAAAATTTTTTTTTTAAAATATTTTTCATACCAAGTTGGAGCAAATCCTAGACAAATTCCACCAAGAAAATCACCCATCAAATCATTATATTTTCTATTTTTAAATACTTGATGATGAAGGAAATCGTGAGATAACCAGCCACATTGTTGCCAAAACAATCCCATTATTGCGGCTGATAAAATAACACCGAAAAGATTATCACCAAATTTAACTAAAATTGTAACCGAAATTGCCCATATGATGAGGTTATGAATTACTTTTTGAGCGTAATAAAGTTTTGATGACTCAAAATAATTACTCTTTTTAAAGAGTTCTTTATATTCTCGTAATTCTTGTGTGAACCCTTCTGTTGAAGTTATTATGTCTTCCCGGGAAATATCACCAACATAATAATTTGCCAAAATTTCAATAGTCCCCTCGGGATGAAAATTATAAAACGCATCTAAATTTATATATATCACGCATTAGAGATAGAATATACGTCAATTGAATGTCACATGATTTAGTATAAGTACCAGTAGAATCTTTGCCGATATGGGTCAAAATCACTGCCCCACCAGGATGGTCAGACACAAAATCTTTAATGTCATAAACCTTGTTATCAACGATTATATACCAAGGATGTTGGTCAGAAATTCCTTTTATTCCAAGTACTTTACTTGGATTTATAATGTCTTCTTTTCTAAAGGTTTTAGGTCCTATTTTTTTCAATAAATAAAAATGTAATTTTATTAAAGATGTTGTGGTTACAACTTTAAGGATATAAGAATGATACTAACCATCGATGAGTTCTTCGCGATTAGCGCGAGGAGGCATATTGATAAATGTGACAAATTATAATTAATTTTTTTTTAGGCAAAAAAGCGTTCTTTATAAGTTTGTGATTAAAAAAATTTAATCGATACAATAAAACAGAGATTGGGGAGAACTGAATTAAAATGACATGTGAATATTCCAAAAACAGTAATATAAATCAGGAAAAAAGGAAGGGAAATTATAAAATTATAAGCAATTGCGTGATTGTAATATGTAACGCAAATTTTTATGTTGGGGTATAATGAACGTAAATTGGTATAAAATATAATATAAGCAATTGCGTAATTGTAATAGGTAACGCAATTTTATGTTGGGGTATAATGAACGTTAATAACGTAAATTGGTCAAGTGAGTATCGAAATCACATGTCTCATATATCTCTAACCGCACCCCGGAAGATAAAGTATCCGGGCATATAAACATTTTTATATTCTATGTAATTTTCGCTTATACCAGAGTTGTCATTGGGACATTAAAAAAACCGTGATATGAAATTAGGATCAGCAAAATCATTAATTAATAAAACTAACCAACCACTGCTTATACTTATTATAAATAATCTCTAACTCTAATACGTTCTAGATACTTTCTTAGATCATAGGTTTTATATGTCATTTATGATGTCTGACTGAAATTGATTTTCGTCGGGTGTCTGAAATTGATCAATTAATTGAAATTGAAATTCCAATTTCAGATACGAGGTCGTCTGAAATTAGAATATCTGATCAGATAAATCTAAATTTTAAATATACAAGTTACCTCGTCCGGGCCTTAGTGCCTGTGAATATTGAGGAAAAACAAAAAATAAAAATTTGAATATAACAAAATAATACGTTATCTTTTTAAAATTTATTATTATTTGTAAATTTTGCTATTTATCACCGGTGTCACATGATTATGATTATCCAATAGTGAATAAAATTTAATATAATCTAAACCTAACCTTACCCTAACTCGTCGGTCCTAACCCTAACCTCTAACTCAGAATAGCGATAACAAAATAATCACGTGATTAAATAACACATGATACTGGTGATGATCACCACCAATAATATGTAGTAATTTTCTATAAATATTTTTTATTGATTATTTATATATACAGTCAAATCTTGATATAGCGAACCCTTGATATAGCGAATTTTTAAATCAAATATATTAAAATTACCTTTAC